CTGGCTTACTTCACCTGGCATCACATTTTCAAGGTTCATCCACACGGTAGCATGGATCAGCAATCCATTCCCTTTTATAAGGTAGTAGATGTCATTTGAGGCATTTTGTTCATTCATTCACCGACTGATGGACATTTGGGTTGCTTTCCTTTTTGCCTATTATAATAATACTGCCTAGACAATTCATGTACAAATCTGTGTACAGACATGTTCTCCATTCTCTTGGGCATATATCAAGGAGTTGAACACCTGGGTCACATGGCAACTCTATGTTTAACATTTTGCCAAACTGCTGCTCTATTTTCCAAAGCAGCTGTACCGTTTTATATTCCCCAACCCCAGAAATGTATGCTAATTCCAATTTCTCCACATCCTTGACTATACTTATGGTCCATGTTTCTTTGTTTCTTTTTTTTCCCCCCTGTTCCTCAGATAGGGTCATTTCAATTGACCTACACTCCAAGTTTGTTTATTCTTCTAGCTGTTCAAGTCTGCTGCTGTGCTCCAGGAAATTTTTTGGAAATTTTTACTGTTGTCCTACTTCTCAAATCCAGATTTCAATTTGATTCTTTTTTATAATTTCTGTCTATTAATATTCTCTATTTGATGAGACATTATTCTCATACTTGTTTTTAGTTCCTTAAACATGGCTTCATTTAATTCTGTGAACACATTTTAATTCTTTGTCTAGTGAGTCCAGTGTTTGTGCTTCCTTATGGACAGTTTCTGTCTTTTTCCCCTTGTGTCTGGGGCATACTTCCTTATGTCTTTGCATCCTCCTGATTTTTTTGTTGGAAATTAGCCATTTAAAATGGTGTAATATGGCAACTCTGGAAATCACATTTTACTCCTTCTTCAAGACTTCTTGTTATTGATGTTTGTTTAGTGACTTTTTTGAATGAATTATGTAAAGTCTGTAAACTGTGTTGTACGTGGCTGCTGAACTCTGTTCACTCAGTGATCGACTAATGACCAGACCAAGATTTCCTTAAAAACCTGAAACCAAACAGTCTTGCAGCCTTTGCAGATGGGCTCTGTGGGGGCAGGAAGGGATGCCTTCTACACTCAGCCAGGCTGCTGGCAACTCTGTCATAGCCTTCACTTCCTTCTTGTGCAGCACCTCAGGGGCAGTAGAAGTGAGACCTTAGGGTCTTCTCAGGTTCTTCCCAAGCATGAGCACAGCCCTACTCATGTGCATGGCCTTGTGTGATTCCCAGAAATATGTTGGAGCTTTTCAATGGCCCTGAGGTCATCTAATTCCCTAGCTTTTCCTTTAAAGCTTTTTGGTTAGCCTATTCTTTGCCCCAAATGACATCCACTACCTCAGGCAGCCACGAAGTCAAACAGTTTCCTCTAAATGTTTTCAAAAACTTTCCTTGGGAAAAGGCTTTGTGTACTGGGCAAGGCCTGAGTCAGATCAAGTAAAGACAGCCTTGTAAGTGGGGTCTTTTAGGGAATCAGCAAGCAGATCAAATGATGACAGTCCTCTGGAAATGAGGCTTTGTGGGAGTTCCAACTCCTTCCTGTCCCTTCTGGTGGCTGCCGCAATGCTGATTTTCACTGTGATTATGGGCTATTTGGAATGGAGACAGGAGAACAGGAATAAAGTAGTTACACACACACACACACACACACACACACACACACACACACACGTTGCTGTTCTTATCAAGATTCTGCTACTTTTCTTAAATAAATAATCTGTGGAATGCTGTAAGCCTTTGATTAATTCCCAGAGTTCTGTAAAAGGTGATTATGATCATTTTTTTCCCATTTCTTTTTTGGTTTTGTTTTTTGTTTTAGAGACAGGGTCTCCCTCTGTTGCCCGGGCTGAAGTACAGCAGTGTGATCACAGTTCACTGTAATCTTGAATGCCTCAGCCTCCTGCAGCCTCTAGCAGCTAGGACTACAGGCATGCACCATCACACCTAGTTAATTTTGGTTTTTTTATTCTTTGTAGAAATAGTGTCTCGTTATGTTGACCAGTCTGGTCTTTAATTTGTGGCCTCAAGTGATCCTCCTGCCTCAGCCTCCTAAAGTGTTGAGGCTATAGGCATGAGTCACCACACTCAGCCTCATTTTTGTCAGGTTTACTGATGTTTTTATGAAGAAGAAAAGGTTGGGAAGTTCCCACTGTGCCACTTTTGCTGAAGTTATTTATGGTTTAGATTTTACTTTTAGGGCTATACACTGTAAGTTGATTTTAGAATACAGTATGAGGCAAGAGTCAGAGTTCAAGTTTTCCAATGTGGATAACCAGTTGTTCTAACAACATTTATATTCTTTTCCTATTGAATTGCTTAGGCATCTTTGACAACAACCAACTTGCCATTTACATGCAGGTATATTTCTGGACTCTCTTATTATCTTACACTGATCTATTTGACTATCACTAAGCCAGTATCACACTATCTTGATTACTATAACTTGATAGCAAATCTTGAGGTCATGCAGGGGGAGTCCTCCAACTTTGTTCTCATACAAGATTGTTTCGAGTATTGTAGTTACTTTGCATTTCAATATGGATTTTAAATAACAGTAGTCAATTTCTACTTAAGAAGGCTGCTGAGGAACTGGCTGGGACTGCACTGAACCTATAGGTCAATTTGGGGAAAACTGACATCTTACCAATATTAAGTCTTCCAATCCATGAACATGGTATACAGCTCTTCATCAATGTTCTAATAGAGCATGCAGTCCTTTTTCATTTCATGTAATTATTATCACTCAATGTAAATTTACCACTTGGATATTTGTTTCCTGCTAGACCTAATTGTTTTCTCCTTTCCTGACATATTTTGTCTAATCAAATGGTTTTAGAATTCCATTGTAATGAAATTATTCACATTTTAGCTATAATTCTTTGTGTGATTTTTGAATGGTCACTCTATGGATTACGATATGTATTCCATAACTCATCACAGTCTACTTAGAGTTACTTCTCTACCTCATGTAAAATGTAATAGACCCACAACCATAACGTTGTTCACCCCATTCTAACCTTTGCACTACTGTTGTCAAGTATGCTATAGTTACATACATTATAAACCCCACAATATACTATAACTTTTGCTTTATATAATTTTTGCTTTAAATAAAGAGAAAACATATATTCTATTTATCCACATATTTACCAGCTGTCTTAACACTGTGGTTCTCAATGGTTGGGGGCAATTCACAGAATAGCCCCCCACCTTTTTTTTTTTTTTGTCTCACCCTGTCACCCAGGTTGTCATCCCAGTTCACTGCAGCCTTGACCTCCTAGGCTCAAGTGGTTCTCTTGCCTCAGTCTCCTGAGTAGCTAGGACTGCAAGTACATGCCACACCCAGCAAATTTATTTTATTTTATTGCATTTTTAGAGATGGGGTCTTGCTATGTTGCACAGGATATGAAACATATAATAAATCACGGTAATCTAATAAACAAAACTGCAAAGAAAGTCGAGGCTAATTTCAAAAGCGAAATAAAAGAAATGAGGTCACAGTACAAAAAATAGTTATTAAAGCTTAAATCATATATGTAACTATATTTAAAAGAATTATTGTGCTTTCCTGTTTATAAAAATTTTCTTCCTTATAAAGAAACAAATTGAAACTGTACAGGACTTTTATAAATTTTGTAAATTAACAATAGATTATAAAAATTTTGCCATGTGATTGCACACTGTTTTACATGATCTTTAATATTTGCATTGTATAAATATGACATAAGTTTACTCAGTCTTATGACTTGTTGAAAATTTAGGTTGTTTCTAATATTCACAGGTATTAATTATTCATAAATGATTTCACTCATCTATAGTAATTTCCTTGGCTTTTGTCTGCTGTGAATATGATCAGTACACAATTAATGTCCTTATCTAAATCGTTACTAAAATGTCAACTAATATGGGGAGAAACCTGGAGTCTTATGAAACAATCTAAGAGAATGTCTTCCAGGTTGCATCAGTTCACAATCACTGTTCTTTAAATACAGGTCTGTCTTCACCTAACTACATAATTTTCCAGCCCATATTTTTCCATCATGTCCCAGGAAGATGAGACTTTTTCCTGTATTTTGCTCATCTCCAGCTGCATCATTTTTATAGAATCCGACCTGTGTTTCTAGTACCCTACCATAAAAACATCATTAGGCATCGATTGCTCCAAGTGAATTCACAGTGGTTTTCTAAGCACATAGAGACAGGCGAGGCAAACAGACAGTTGCTCCAAGGAAATCAAAGCTGAGACAATGCTCCAGCAAACAGGCTGGAGCCGAGAAGCAGCTGATTGCGCCAAGAAATAAGAAAGAATCAGAACTGTTCATTCCAAGACTCAACCATGATTCCATCATCATATAGTGCTAACGTGACAAATACTCTCAGCTCCAGCCACTGAGAATTAGCTGAAGCAGAAAGGGTCAAAGCAAAATGGACATACTAAAGCAATGCCACAGAACTGCTTTTGAATACTGGTTTAAAGTTTGCCACAGGAGTGCCTGTACATGTGATCATCTTTCTACATCTACTAGTAGTAGAGAGCAGGGGCATTCCCTCAGGTTTCTTAGGTCTATACTGGTGTAAACCAGAGGTCAGCAGAGTTTTCCACAAAGAGCCAGACAGTAAATATTTAATCTTGCAGGCCACATGGTCTCCATTGTAATCACTCAACTCTTTTATTATAGCATAACGGCACCATAGACAATATGCAAATGAATGGATGTGGCTGTTTTCCAGTAAAATTTTACTTACAAAAATAGGTGGGCTAGATTCGGTGGGCGGGCTGTAGTTTCCCAGCCATGAGTGTAAACATGAGAGTGAAATATCTGGTGCAAAATGACTCTAAACTCTCTCTTGACCACATCCCAAAATTTCAAATGGTGAACAAGAAATACTGTGTCGATCAGTGCAGTTTTAGTCTCCTATTATATTACTATAGGAATCACTATTTCATGTTCAGTGACTTCAACCTATAGTTGAATCAGTTCTTCTACACGCCATCAGGACCAAAGAGTCATTTACCTGGGCATAATCAGCAAAAGGTGGAACATACGTGACGCACTTTTCCAGTGCGTGTTGTGATTCATTTCCCTGAGAGATTGCATCCAGAATGCTGCTTGCAATTCCAGTCTTATGAAGGGAGGTTTTACTTGCAGGTGCTAAAGGGAAAACCATTATCAATATGTTAATTGTATTTAGGTTTTATTATACATTATAAACAGAGTAGAACACTCATTAACTCAGCATATTCTCAAATAGAATACAAGTTTTATTTTGCCAGTATATATCTATATTTACGAGGGGGACCAAAAAACTTGGAATGATCTTTTGGAGGGTGGACCCCTTGAAGTAGAGGTTTCCCCCACTGGATAAGGGTCCTAGGAACCCATCGGCATCAGTGTACCAGCTAGCATTGTTGTGAGAGGCTGCATTTGGCTTCAGTGGATTTTTTTTTTTTTTTTTTTTTGGTGGTGATCCTTCTGTGTATGCCCATTTCATGATGGGTGACTTACAAACACACCTGCCAAAACTGCACTGAGTGTTCAGCAGTTTTTGACCAAAAATGTCATCACCTCTTTACCGCCCCCCATTCACCCAGTCTTGTCCTGCGGCATTTTTGTTTGTTGTTTGTTTCCCCGGCTCAAAGGGAAAGGTTTTGCCTATGTGAAAGAGGGGAAACAAAAAACGGCAGAAGCACTAATAAGCATAAAAATTGACAAGTTCAAAAACTGTTTTGAACAGTGAGAAAAGAGTCTCGACAGGTATATTGCATCAAATGGAGAGCACTTTGAAAGTGACTGAAGTTAACATGTAAGAATAAATATACAATTTTTTATAAAATAAATTCTGTCTTGTTGGGGGGGTTTCTCTTGTATCTTCCCCAGATAAAAATATATATAGTTTGGGGGGGGAGGGGAAGGGAGATGGATTAATGGTAGTAAATGTCTGGGGATGGGGAGACACCTGTTATCAACAAGGGTGCCTGGACGAAGCATATTTGTGTACCTAACCCTTAACTGTACCCCACAATATCATAATAAAAAATATTGATTAAAAAAAATATATATAGTATATGATATTGTCTCATTCATACTGAAAATGGACACTTGTCTTATGAGTAATTTTGATGGAAACATTCAAATATAAATATACAAGGAAGAGCTAATATCAATCCTATTGTAAGCATTCCAGGCTAGCGAGAAAGATGGAACCTTCCCCAAATCATTTTATGAAGCTAACATTGATACCCAAACTGGGTAAAGATCCAACAAAGAAAGAGAACTACAGGCCAATATCCTTGATGAACATAGATGTTAAAATTCTCAACAAGATTCTAGCAAACCAGATCCAACAACACATCTCAAAAATCATCTACCATGACCAAGTAGGCTTCATCCCTGGGATGCAGGGCTGGTTCAACATCCTCAAGACCATAAACATAATTAAGTACACCAAGAGTTGTGAAGACAAAAACCACATGATTATATCATTAGACGTGGAAAAAGCTTTCAATAAAATCTAGCATTCCTTCTTGATAAAAACCCTTGAACATCTAGGCATAGATGGAAAATAGTAAGAGCCATCTATGAGAAACCCACAGTCAACATACTGCTAACCAGACAGAAACTGGAACCATTTCTCCCGAAAACCAGAACAAGTCAAGGATGCCCACTCTCACCCCTCCTGTTCAACATAGTATTGGAAGTCCTAGCTAGAGCAATCAGACAAGAGAAGGAAATCAGGGGTATCCAAATAGGAAAAGAGGTAATTAAGCTATCCCTCTTTACAGACGACATGATTCTATACCTCGAAAACCCAAGAGAACCTGTCAAAAACCATCTTGCACTGATAAAGGACTTTGGCAAAGTCTCAGGGTATAAAACAAATGTGCAAAAGATAGTTGTATTCCTATGCATCAACAATAAACGAACAAAAACCCAAATAAAAAGCACGATCTCATTCACCATAGCCACACAGAAAATGAAATATCTTAGCATCTTCCTAAACAGAGAGGTGAAAGACCTTTACAACAAAAACTACAAAACAGTGCTCAAAGAAATCAAAGATGACCAAAACAAATGGAAAAATACTCCATGCTCATGGATTGGAAGAACCAACATTGTTAAGATGTCCATCCTACCCAAGGCAATCTACAGATTTAACACAATACCCATTCAATTACAAGCAGCATTCTTCTCAGACCTGGACACGACAATATAGAAATTCCTATGGAAACACAAATGACCTGAACAGCCAAAACAATCCTCAGCAAGACAAAAACAAAAACAAAGTGGGAGGTATCACACTCCCAGACTTTAAACTTTATTGTTAGGCTACAATAATCAAAACAGTCTGGTACTGGTACAAGAACAGGCATATAGACCAATGGAACAGCATAGAGATTCCAGAAGCAAAACCTCAATTTCTCAACCAACTCATCTTCAACAAAGCCTCCACCACCAATCACTAGTGAGAGGAGAACCTATTCAGTAAATGGTGCTGGGAAAACTAGTTGACCACATGCAGTAGATTAAAACAAGACCCCTACCTATCACCATACACAAAAATCAACTCTAAATGGATCAAAGACCTAAATGTAAAACCTCAAACTATAAGACCCTTAGAAAATGCAGGAGACACCCTTATAGAAATTGGAACTGGCAATCAATTCCTGATCAAAATCCCAAGTGCTCATGCCATAAAGAATAAGATAGATAAGTGGGACCTCATCAAACCGACAAGTTTCTTCAAAGTCAAAGAAACCGCTGAGAGAGTGAGGAGACAGTCCACAGAATGGAAAAACATTTGCCAACTGTATATCTGACAAAGGTCTAACATTGAGGATCTACAAGGAACTCAAACATGCTGAAAAGAAAAAAATAAACAGCCCCATTATAAAGTAGGCAAAGATATGAATAGACACTTCTCAAAAGAAGCATACAAGCAGCCAAAAGATACATTAAAAAAATGCTCGGTCTCACTTGTCATCAAAGAAAAGGAAATTAAAGCCACACCAATATACCACCTAACTCCAGTCAGGATGGCCATCATCAATAACTCAAAAAACAACAGATGCTGGAGAGGATGCGGGGAAAAGGGAACACTTCTACACTGTTGGTGGGAGTGTAAACTAGAACAGCCTCTGTGGAAAACAGTTTGGTGACTCCTAAAAGATCTAAAAATTGGCCTTCCATACGACCCTGCAATCCCCCTTCTGGGCAATATACCCAGAGGAACTCAAACTACTCTATGAAAAAGATACCTGTACACGGATGTTTATTGCAGCATTATTTACAATAGCAAAAACATGGAACCAACCATGCTGCCATCAAAAGAGGGCTAGATAAAAAAATGTGGTACATACACATGATGGAATATTATGCATCCACAAAGATGTACAAAATCACGAACTTCACAGCAACCTGGATGGACTTAGAGTCTAGAATACTGAGTGATCTTTCACTGAAACAAAGAACTGAGTATCACATGTTCTCATTCATAAGTGGACCTTGAACAATTATCATAATACTAGCAGGAAACTGCCTCCTGGGGTGGGGGGGAGGCAGGATTGGCAGCAGTGGGAATCCACTGGGGGTGGGGGACACCTCATCAACAAGGGTACCTGTATAATGAATATTTGTATACCTAACCCTGAATTGTACCCCACCTCTTTAAAAAATAAAATACAATAAAAAATTATATATACACATACACATATATATCTAAAACAAGGCACACAAAATGTAAGTTAACCATTCTTGTAAATGTAATCAATAGTTGTCATCATCAATTTTTATTTTATTTTATTTATTTTTTCTTTTTGAGTTGGAGTCTCACTGTCACCCAGACTGGAGTGCAGTGGCCGCTCCTGGCCACCACAGCCTCGACCTGCTGAGCTCCGGCAATTCTTTTGCCTCAGCCTTCCAAGTAGCCGGAACTACAGGCGCGCTACCTTGCCCGGCTAATTTTTGATTTATTGTAGAGATGAGGTCTCGCCAATTGCCGCAGGATTACAGGCTAAGCCACCAAGCCCAGCTTTATTTTTTTATTTTTCAGAGACAGAGATTCATTCTGCAAGCTAGGCTTGAATGCAGTGGCTAGATTATGGCTCACTATAGCCTTGAACTCCTGGGCTCAAGCAACCCTCCTGCCTCACTTCAGTCCCTCAGCAAGGAATTACAGAATGCACCACCATGTCCAGTTAATTAAAAAATATATTTTTGTACAGACAGGGGTTAAGCTGTGTTGCCCAAGCTGATCTCAAACTCCTGGTCTCAAGCTGTCTCCCAAAGCATTGGGAAATAGGTGTGAGTCACCAAACCTGGCTTTCACCATCAACTCTTAGACTAAATCAATATATATTAATAATAGGTACATTAGACACATTTTAAATCATTTTCTGGCTTTTAAAAAATTACAAATTAGGCTGGGCTCAGTGGCTCAGCCTGTAATCCCAACACTTTGGGAGGCAAGGTGAGAGGATTGCCTGAGCCCGCAGGTTCGAGACCCACCCGGGCAACTTGGTAAGACCTCATCTCTACAATAAATCAAAAATTAGCCAGGTGTGGTAGCGCATGCCTGTAGTTCCGGCTACTTGGAAGGCTGAGGCGGATGGATCACAGGAGCCCAGCAGGTCGAGCCTGCCCTGGCTGGGAGCATGCCACTGTACTTCAGTCTGGGCGACAGAGTGAGATTCCAACTCAAAAAAAAAAAAAAAAAATACAAATTAATGCTTGGGTTCTAGAATACTTCATGAAATACAGAGGATGTATATTAAAAATGAAGTTCATCTTTCATCTTTTTTCATTCACTCAATTCTATTCTTCTTCCCAGAGGTAATAGTTTAGAATTTATTTTCTCAGATTTACTTTATGCATTTTACACACTCAAATGCATACATGTAAGACTAGATTGCTTCAAATAAATATAAGCAGAATCATTTTATGTACACATTTGCCTTTCCACTTAATAAATATGCTTTAGGGCTGGGCGTGGTAGCTTAAACCTGTAATCCTAGGACTTTGGGAGGTCGAGGTGAGGGGACTGCCTGAGCCCAGGGGTTTGAGACTAGCCTGGGCAACTTGGTGAGACCTCATCTCTACAATGAATTAAAAAAAAAAAAAAACTAGCCAGGCATGGTAGCGTGCACCTGTAGTTACAGCTACTTGGAAGGCTGAGGCGGAAGGATCGCTGAAGCCCAGTAGGTCGACGCTGGGGTGGCTGTAAGCATGCCACTGCGCTCCAGCCTGGGCGACGGAGTGTGACTCCAACTCAAAAAAAAAAAAAAAAAAAAAAAAAAATAGAAAATATGCTTTAGGCCAGGCCTGGTGGCTCACACCTAAGAGTTGTTTGAGCCCAGGAGTCTGAGATCAGTCTAGGCAACATAGCAAGACCTCATCTCTACAAAATAAAAAAAGTATTCGATTATTCATAAACTATGTAAATATGTATTTATTCATATTTTTTTGAGTCAGAGTCTCACTCCATCGTTGCCCAGGCTGGAGTGCAGTGGCACACTTATGGCCACCCCAGCATCAACAGCCTGGGCTCCAGCGATCCTTTCACCTCAGCCTTCCGGGTAGTTGGAACTATAGACACACACCACCATGCCTGGCTTGTTTTTGTGATTTATTGTAGAGACGAGGTCTCACCAAGTTGCCCAGGCTAGTCTCGAACTTGTGGGCTCAGGCAATCCACTCACTTCAGCCTCCCAAAGGGCTGGGATGACAGGCTGAGCCACCGAGCCCAGTCAAACTATGCATTTATTTAAGCATCCCACAATGACAGACATTTAGGTATTTTCCAGCATTTCACAACTGACAACAAACGTGACAATGCGCATTCTTGTGCCTGCAGCACACACATCTGTGATTTTTCTCTTAAAACTGGGTCTGAATGAATAGTTGATTCACAGAACCTGAAGGCCTGAGGGGGTCCTCCAAAAAAGTAAATGATAATTCCTTTTCTGCCAATTATTAGTAGCCCATTCATGTTGGGGATACCCAAATAGTCTTGATATATTAAATTACTTACAAGTCTAAACTTCTAGTTTAGACAGATGATTCTGTATGTGCTGTAAAGAGTTACAGTATGGCCAAATAATTCCTTCGCCAATTATTTTCAATCATGACCCAATAATAATTCAATAAATTAATTATATTCTCAAAAATACTATAAAAGATGTTTTCCTTAAATAAAATAGCACGCATTTTAGGTATCTGAATTTTAATCACTCTTTGAATTTAAAGAACAATTTAGGCCTTAATTTGCTCAAGAGGCACTGTTTGCTTCAAATAAGTTACACGTTAAAGAAAGACTCATTATGGAAAGTGTCCAACAAAACTCTAAAACATTAAAACTAGGCCCCACTTACATGATAAGCACACACTGGGCAGCACGCTTGCCAAATTCAAGTATGGATTTTTACTGAGCCGAATTTCTTTTGGTGGTTCTCCCAAGAGTGAAGTCTGATTCTTAGAGGCAGCCTATTCATCAAAAAACAAAAGAGAGGGTGCTTAATAAGAGGTATAAGAAAATCAAAATGCGGGCGGTTTCTTACGCCCATGCCAACCCTGGCAAGTCTCTGTCTCTTTTCTCCCTTCTTTCCCTAATAAACTTTGTCTAAAAGCTTTGCTGGCCACTCTAAAATTCATTCTAGAAAGGAGCCAGAGAATCCACAGGTTTTGCATCGCACCCCATCGGCACCATCTGGCACCCAACGTGTGGGGCCAGGAGCCATCAGTCACCACGTGGTCTGCAGACCCGATCGCCAAGGAAGCAATCGTGTGACTAGTCCACCCATCTGCCTGCCGTCCATCACCTGATGTCAGTACTTACCTCCCTCCGTGATGATGTGGAGCCAACTACCACTCAATCGTCTTCATGACCTGCCTCCGTCAAAGGGAAAGCTTAAAAGGGCTCAACCGGAAGCCGTCATCTGCCATTGCTTTACTAAGCTATGGTCACACCATGGGCTCACCGAGCAATGACCAGGTCGTGTGTCTTTTGAACAGTGGCCTCCACGTTTCTAAGCTTTGGCCTCCTCCCCTACCTTGGGGAGGTGACTAGCTCCTCTCTCTCTAATTTACTTTCTGAATAAACTATATTTTCCAATCTAAAAAATAATTATGAAAATCTGAATGCAGAAAGAATAGAAATGCACTCATTTTTCCTTATTTAGGAGTTGGAGTCTCACTCTGTCGCTCAGGCTGGAGTGCAGTGCCACACTCATGGCCACCCCAGTGTCGACCTGCTGGGCTCTGGAGATCCTTCCGCCTCAGCCTTCCAAGCAGCCAGAACTACAGGCGCGCACTACCACGCCAGGCTCATTTTTGGTTGATTGTAGAGATGAGGTCTCGCCAAGTTGCGCAGGCTGGTCTCGAACCCGTGGGCTCAGGCAATTCACTCGCCTCAGTCTCCCAAAGTGCTAGGATTACAAACTGAACCACCGAGCCTGGCCTAATCTTTCAATAAATCTAGTCCAGTGTGATAAAAACTTGTGAAACCTAATCTTTGATGACATAAGGTCATGAAATATTTATGAATGTGCACTGAAATTATCACATTTCACCTGCTTCAGTTTTTCTGATAGGTTTTTAAAAGACTATCCTAAAACCACAGAACTTCAGAACTGAAAGAGAATGAAAGGCTATCTTATTCAACTTCTCACTTGAACGAGTAAATAATTCACCTTCACAAGAAAAAAACAAATTCAATGTCTCATTTCCAGAAACACTGTTTCAACTTTTTTTTTTTGAGTTGGAGTCTCACTCTGTTGCCCAGGCTGGAGTACAGTGGCACACTCATGGCCACCCCAGTCATCGACCTTCTGGGAGCTGGTGATTCTTTCACCTCAGTCTTCCAAGTAGCTGGAACTACAGGCATGCGCTAACACACCCGACTAATTTTTTGGTTATTGTAGAGACGAGGTCTTGCCAAGTTGCCCGGGCTGGTCTCCAACCCACAAGCTCAGGCAGTTCACTAGCCTCAGCCTCCCCAAGTGCTGGGATTACAGGCTGAGCCACCAAGCCCGGCCATCAACATTTTAAATAAGACCTTTTATTTTATATCTTATGGTCACAACAAAATTACAAAGCATAGCCTATTTACCTCCGGTACTAAGAATAATATCAGGCCGAGTGCAGTGGCTCATGCCTGTCATCCCAGCACTTTGGGGGGCTGAGACTGGAGGATTGCCTGAGCCCAGGAGTTTGAGAACAGCCTGGACAATGTAGTGAGACCCTGTCTCTACAAAAAATAGAAAAGTTAGCTGGGTGTGGTATCACACGCCTATTAGTCCCAGCTACTTGAGAGGCTGAGGAGGAAGGATTTCTTGAGCCCAGGAGATCAAGGCTGTGGTGAGCCATGACCATGCCACTGTACTCCAGTCTGGGCGACAGATTGAGACACTGATTCAAAAATAAATAAGTAAATAGATATATAAATAACAATATAAAACAAAATAAATGGGTTTAATAAACTCAAACTTCAAGTTTAGACGATAATGCTAGAAATTCACCTATTTGAAAACATATGCTGTATCTTTTTATGTAACTAGGTGTAAGGATTTCAGTACAGTTCACCTTTGAACAACCTGGAGGTTAGGGGTGCCCATACCCCGTGTGATGGAACATCCATGTATAACTCTTAACTATCCAAACACTTGACCCCAAAATAGCCCACTGCTGACCAGAAGCCCTACCTATCACATAAACAGTCGATTAAGACATATTTGTCTGAACAATACATATTTGTATACCTAACCCTCAATTGTACCCCACAATTTTAAAATAAAAAATTAAAATAAAATAAAAATAAAATAAAAACCTCAAAAAAGAGACATTTTGCATGTGACATGTATTATATGCTATATTTTTACAATAATGCTAGAGAAAAAATATTTTTAAAATCACCAGGAAAGTAAAATACATTTACTGTACTGTACGGTACTGTACTGCTCGACACCATAAATTTACATCTCTGTTTATGGAATGAACCATCTGTCTGACTTTAATCTACAGTACATATCAAGCATTCTTTTTCTTGCAATTCATGTCTCTTCTCTTGAGAGCACTACCAGCATCACTAGTGGCACTTTGTATGAGTTCCAGGGTGTTATTCAAGATTTATGGAATTGTCCTAAACACCATGAAAAATACACAAGAACCACAAGAGATCACTTTTTACTGGAATATGCAATTTATCGGAGACATGAACTACTCACGTGGCGATGATCAGTATCACAGGTGTTTTAAGCAGATTCTTGCCACACTTGAGTTGACCGCAATTGCAACAGTAATGCAGTGTGTCTTACAGTTAACCTTGTGCAGTTATGATTTAATACTGTATCTTTGTTTACATTTTTCTCCACTGCGTGCCATGTATGGTCTGTGTTTGTGTTCGTAAGTTTTGATAAATTTTAACTTTTTTTTTTTGAGTTGGAGTCTCACTCTGTCGCCCAGACTGGAGTGCAGTGGCCGCTCCCGGCCACCGCAGCCTCAACCTGCTGGGCTCCGGCGATCCTTCCGCCTCAGCCTTCCAAGTAGCTGGAACTACAGGCGCACACCACCACGCCTGGCTAATTTTTGATTTATTGTAGAGATGAGGTCTCGCTAAGTTGCCCAGACGGGTCTCGAACTCGTGGGCTCAGGCAATCCACTCACCTCAGCCTCCCAAAGGCACGGGATTACAGGCTGAGTCACTGAGCCTGGCTGAAATTTTAACTTTTTAAAATAAATTTGTGTATATAGGGGATGCCAAAAATATGCATACACATTTTAAGAGATGTTATTTATGTATTACTTTTCAAAACTGAATTAAATTACGGAAGCAACGTAAAGTAAGATGTTTTCTTATTTTTTCAATATTTCTAGGTTACATGGTTCATCTGCAAGTTTTTTCAAATTTTCATGAATCTCCAAAAAATATACATTATTTTAAAAAATCCTCATAATCCACAGGTGGACCTATGCAGTTCAAACCCATGTTGTTCAGGAGTCAACTGTATGCAGGAAACTCCTAAAACTCAACAACAGAATGAACAATCTGGTTCAAAATGGGCAAAGACTTTAATAGACATTTCTCCAGATGAAAATACATAGATGGCTAATCAGCACATAAAAAAATACTCAACATTATTAATCATTAGGGAAATGCAAATCAAAACCACAATGAGATACTTCATACTTGTTGGGATGGCTATTACAACGGGCTGAATTTGTGTCCCCCCCCAAATTCATATATTGAAACCCTGGCCCTCAACGTGATGCTATTAGGAGGTAATTAGGTCATGAAAGTGGAGCCCTCCTGAGTGCGACTAGTGTTCTTATAAGGACAGACATGAGAGATCTTGCCTCGGCTCTCCATGTGAAGATGCAATGAAAAGCTGGCCATCTGCAAACCAGGAGCAGTGCCCGCACCACACACTGGATCCGTGGCACCTTCGTCTTAGAATTCCCAGACTCTAAGACTGTGAGAAACAAATGTTTGCTGTTTAAGCCATCCAGTCTATGGTATTTTTGTTACAAGAAAGCTAAAACAGAAAATAAGTGTTGGCTAGGATGTGGAGAAACTGGAATTCTTGTGCGTTGCTGGTGGGAATGTGAAATGGTACAGCTACTGTGGAAAAGAGTATGGCAGTTCCTAAAAACATTAAACACAGAATTACGATATGATCTAGCAATTCCACTTCTGGGTATATACCCAAAAGAACTGAAAGCAGGCACTCAAACAGATATTTGCATACCAATGTTTACAGCAGCATTATTCATGACAGTATGAGGTAGAAACAGCTCAGGTGTTCGTGGATGGATGAATGAAACTGTGATCTATACATACAACAGAATACTATTCAGTCTTGGGAAAGAAGGAGATTCTGGTAACATGCTACAACATGGACGAACTTTGAAAATACTGTGCTAAGGAAAGCCAGACACAAAAAGACAAATGGTTTAGCACATTCTTTCTACCAGGTACCTAGAATAGTCAAATCCACAGGGTCAGCAAGTAGAAACACTGGTTGCTGGGAATGGGAGGGGAGATGGGGAGTATTGCTATATGGGTACAGAGTTTCAGCATGAGATGATGAAGAGGTTCTGGAGACGGGGAGTGGTAACAGCTGCCCAGCAATGTGGGTGAACTTCATGCCACTGCACACTTAAAAGTGGTTAAAATGGCAAATGTGTGTTATCTGTCGGTTATCACAACACGCAAAAACTAGATCTCATCCCTCTTATCGTGAATACAACTCTTAGGGATGCCCCTATTGAGAATTGGGGTCTAGCCCTTTACTTTTTTTTTTTTTTTTTTTTTAACACCAGAGATGATTCTAGAGACGAAGAGGCAGGCACAAGAATCACCAGTCCACACAGCATTAAAGCCGCAGGTCTGAAAACCTAAAGCAGAGCTAAACGGATTGCTCAGCAAAGTCCAAAACCTTGCAGTGAGAAAACACTGAGGTTACCTGATCCAACCCCTATTGTCAGAAGGAGGAGTCGTTTCCACAGTATCCATTACAGATGCTCACCTGGGGTCTGCTTAATGGTTATCAGTGATATGACATTCACGTCTCTGTGACATACTTAAACTCTTTATCTGCTTGAAGAAGCCTGAGCTGCTCTCCCTTACAGTAAACCTATTATGCTTTATTGTATGCAGTACTTTATTGGACTAGTTCTGCTCCCTGGACAGACACGACGTGCCAGTGACTATGCTTTGAATATTTTAAAAAATGTCTGCGTGCTCAGTCATCCCTTTCCAGTTTCCACATGTCCATTTCCCTTGAATTCTTCTTCACAGGACTTGTTTCCTCTTGCAGAGAAACTCACTTGCCTATTACCCCAGGTCTACATGCAGTTTTTCTAAAGACTCTGGTGCTTTCAATAAATTAAAGACTACGAAAAGACATGACGCTTTCACATATGAGTTGCATTTGTTTAATTTCCCTCAATAATCCAAGCTATGGATATCGCAGGCACATCTTAAAAATTCGTCTATAAGGAATGGCCATCGCTTTGTCAAGGTACAGTTGTAGTCCATTCTAGCCATGCCTCCTTCTATCACTGGGCAACACCAAACTCCTCACAAATTCAAGGTTATTATTTGGACATTTGAATACAACCAGCTATGTGAAATTTTCCCCCACAAGTTGCTTGTAGTCTAAATTTTATACCATTTACAAATGAAAGGAGATATATATATATATTTCTTGTTTGTTTTTTGTTTTGTTTTGTTTTTGAGTTGGAGTCTCACTCCTGTCACTCAGGCTGAAGTGCAGTGGCACGCTCATGGCCACCACAGCCTCGACCTGCTGGGCTTAGGCGATCCTTCCGACTCAGCCTTCCAAGTAGCTGGAACTACAGATGCATGCCACCACGCCCAGATAAGGATACTTTAAGATACAGATAAAATGAAATTTAGATGTACTTTATCCTAACTACTTGTCATCGTATTGCTATCAGTGGCATATGAACCAACAGAATGATTGGGTAAAAACTTCCATAATGAAAAGGGAGACCAGATTCTTTTGAACAGACCAGAATTGAATAGCTGATTTTGATATTTTTCAGATAAAATAAAATTGGTTCTGCTTTAAAAAATTAAAATATCTATAGAATATACACTTATAATAAAAACAGCATTATTATTTACTTAGAAAGTCTTATAAATAATATCACTATATAACTGAATAAGTATTAATTATATTCTTAAACATTTTCCAAACTACAAGATTCCAAACTTAAATTAGTTTATATCTTATTTTTAAAATATCAAGTTTTGGGGTTTTGTTTTTGTTTTTGTTTTGAGTCAGGGTCTCACTTTGTTGCCCAGGTTGGAAGACAGTGGTACAATCACAATTCACTGTAGTTTGGACCCACGGGGCTCCTTCTGCCTCAGCCTCCCAAGTAGCTGGGACTACTGGTGCATGATGCCACACCCAGCTAATTTTAAAATTTTTTTGTAAAGACGAGGTCTTGCTATGTTGCCTAGGCAGGTCTCGAACTTCTGAGCTCAAGCAATCCTCCAGTCTCAGCCTCCCAAAGTCCCATGCCCGGCCTTAAATATCAAGTATTTTTTAAAGCTATACAACATAAACTTTTCATAAAATAAAGAATCCATACTTAAATTATTTTATAATAAGAGACATAAAAAACTCATTTAACACAAATTAACATTATTTTACTTACAGACAAACTGGCTAATAATTAAGATAGTTCTAAATGTCAGCTAGCATAATTGATCAAAATATTAATTTTTTGTTTGCTTACTTATAATCCTTTGCTTAAGAGTGCAATTTTTTCTTCAATTTTAAGAAGTAAACGCAAACTATGAACAGGTAATCTTTCTAATGACACAGCAATTAGCTACAAGGGGTAATCCCCCCCAAAAGGAATTTATTTATTAAAAATTGTTTACTTATTCTTACATGTTTAAACTTTAGTCACCTTCAAAGTACTCTCCAATTGATGCAATATTCTTATTGAGATGTTTTTTCCACTGCTCAAAACAGTTTTTGAGCTTTTCAATTTTGATGCTTTTTAGTGTTTCTGCCATTTTTTTGTTTCACCTCTTCCACATCGGTAAATCATTTCGTTTTGAGGACTTTTTTCATCCAGGGACACAAAAATAAAGTCGTTTGGAGAGAGATGGGGTGAATAGGGAGGAGGGTGGGGCATCGGGGTCCTGACGTTTTTGGTCAAAAACTGCTGAACATTCAACGCAGTGTGGGCAGGTGCACTCTTAAATCACGCACCATGAAATGGACAAACACGCTGAACGAACTTTCAAAAAACAATCCACTGAAGTTGAACGCAGCCTCTCTCAGTAATGCTAGATAGTACACTGATGCCGATGGGTTCCTAGAACACTTACCTAGTGAGGGAATCCTATACTACAAGGGCCCCCCCCTCCAAAACATAATTCCGGGTTTTTTGGGTCCCCCCTCCCTTGTGGTTTGTAATCCGTATTTACATACTTTACTATTAACTTCCTTTGAAGTTTACAAAGAGTTAAGATTACTTTATGAGGCTTCTTTCTTACATTATGCCACCTGTGAAATAACCACAAATCAGAACACCTAGTAAGAGAAAAATTTCATTTAAAAGATAATGAAAAAGGAACATATGTATGTATCTATGTTGCATGCGCACGGTTTTCTTACCCCTGAACTCATCTCTGTGCCTTTTGGCTGACTTTGCTGCTGCTTATGGTGTCCTGCCAGCAAGCCTCCAGCAGCGAGGTTTGGAAAGCTCTGAAGATAAGGCTGCGACCCTGAGAAGTTTCCTTCTGCCAATCCCATGGTGGCTGGCTGTTTCTCCTGAGTGTTACCGTGCCCAGGCCCAGCTTGTCCAGCAATGTGCTGATTTGGAAAGAATGGTAACATGCCCATTCCAGCTGTTATTGTTGTTTGAGTTGGAATCAGACTAGAGGCTGCAGTGAACCACAAATGGAAAAAGCTTTTAGTAGACAAGACATTCGGAATAGTCCTTTTGATTTTGTTAAGCAATGGGCAGAATGCAAAAAACAAACAAACAAACAAACAAACAATTTTGCACCTATCAGAGAATAATTTCAAAAGGCAGGGTTAGAAGTTGTAAATTAGGAAGTGCTTTTACGGAAAAAAAAACAACAAAAAACCTTACAATAGAAATGATGCTCCTATTTCAACAACTTTCAGGGTAACCTCAATGATATTAAATTTTTGAATTCCAAGTTTTGGTTACTTATAAAAATAAGTAAAAAAGGTGAGAGCAAAGTTTGTGTACTTTTTGGCATTTAAGTTATATCAGTGCTTTTTAAAAATGCCCAGTCACTGCAACTTGCCGGCTGCCATATTTGAAGAGAATAATTAAATAAGTCTTAGGTTTGAAAAATTCTCTGATACTTAAAGATTAGTAAAGTTTGATTGAATCCAACAATAAATGTGGTTAGCCAGCTTGCATCAGCGCATGAAAGTCAACAGTACATATTTCTTCCCAACTCTCAAGTTCAAGTTCTTCATATTGGTAACTTGAAATTGGCTAAGGTTGGAGCACCTGTACCCAGAAATGTACAAAATGCTACATTCAAACTTTTTTTTTAACCTAGAGAGCTGGTTGTTAAACACTTACCAGCACACCACCGGTTTAAAAAAAAAAATCACTGAATAAACAAGCACTAAATTTAACACAAGAAAATTTTATGTTTATATTGATAGAAAATAACCCCAAATTCTGGAATAAAAGTTTGAATAGGAAAATTTTGAACGATTCCACTTTTTAAAAAAATCTTTAAGTCAAAACTAAAATAAAATAGCTAATTTTAATAACTAAGTCTGTTTTGGTTTTTTTTTTTTGGCATTGGGGCATGATCACGGCTCACTATGGCCTCAGCTTCCTAGCTCAGGCGATCCTTCTGCCTCAGCCTCCCGAGTAGCTGGGATGACAGATATGTGCCACCATACCTGGCTAATTTTTTTGATCTTTTTGTAGAGATGAGGTCTTGCTATGTTGCCTACTCTGGTCTCAAACTCCTGGGCTCAAGCTATCCTCCCACCTCAGCCTCCCAAAATGCTGGATTATAGGCATGAGCCAAGTCAAATCTACACTTTACAAATTCATTAAACACATTTATTTAATTATTTTTAGTACTAATCACTTAGAGATGGATACTTCGGATCTCCTATCTTTTAGCAATATAATTATTTAGACGAGGTAAATTTTCATTGACTTAAGGCAGTTCATAAAAAAGCAAATAAGTGGTTTATTATTCAATGCATCACAAATAATACACATCTGTATAACTTTTAGTCACAGAAAATTTAATTTTTTTGAAGGACAGACGCCAACATATCACAAAAATTTCTTCACTGGGTTAACATTTGCCCAGTCCACTTTGACAGTCAGAACTGACTGAGTTAATGACCATTTAGCTAGCTAATTTTGTGAACAGGAGGTTAAGTAAGCGACCCATATTTAATTGACTTTAAAAAATGACCACTGGCCCTGCGACTGTCACTCAGCTTTGCTCACTTCTGAGCAACTTTCAATTAAGCTTCAAACTGAAAGTGCCTTTCAATATCACATTCAAATAAGAAATCTTGGTATAACACCTTGCTCCTGTTTTTCTAAAGAAAAAAACGGTTTTCCTTGCCATGTCTTGAGAAGCACATCGTAATCATATTTTTCTTCAGCAGGTAATTTGGAAAACACATTTTTAAAATAACACAAGTAAATGATAAAACTGTAAATTTACGAATAACAGCTACTTCTTTTATAAAAGTGAGTGGCTTCTGATCCAGGCAACTGTTAAATACATACACACGTAATGTGCTGTCAGCCCAGTGGGCAGCGTGTCAGTCTCTGTGTCTCTGCCTCGTACAGCTGTGAACCTGCATGAAATATTAAAGCACGCCCAACAGGGAGAGTCTTCTCTTGGCATATGGAAGCAAGGCCATCAATAACTTATCAATATTAAAAATAGATAAGCCAAGAGGGCTCTTGAAATTTCAAATGCCTAAATAAAACTCAAATTTGACCTTCCTGTAAATAAAAATAGAACGCGGGTAAGTTGTCTTTCACTCTCAAGCCCGACTGTGTACTGACTTCTCAGTAAATACACATCGCCTACCTTTGTGAGCTTCGCCATGATGTCCCAACTCCTTTTTCAGCGGAAGCGCCGACCCTAGCCCTAGCGCCGTCTGAAGCACCACAGCGGGGGGTTCTCCAAGTAAGCCAGGTTTCTACAAAAGAAGAAAACAAAGGAAGACTTTTGCCCATGGCAGTACAATGGAACCTAAAAAGACTATGTATGTGAACATTCAAATGCAATCTCATCAACAGCCTGATTCTAGAAAAAGAATGAACAGAGTTCAGAAGGAAAAATAATACCACACTTACGTTATTAGTATGAATATTCTCAAACTTCATTAACTGCTGCTGTGCCAGTGGTACATGAGAAAGATTCTGAAGGAATAAATTAGAAGTATTACCCATAACTGAGCTCTGTGAAAATGATAAAACGTTAGTTAGTTTAATTTTGTAAAGCTACATGTTATATAACCCAGCTCATTCTAAAGTTCCATCTCCTGTTGTTCTGAGTAAAAGCAATAGTTTCTTAATATAATATTTCACTTTCCAACTTCAGGCAGAGCCATTTAATTCTTTTAATTAATATATAAGAGGACCACGCAGTCATGAGGCAAATTCTACATTCTTTCCTTCTATCCTCCTTTCTCCCTCTTCTCTTCCCTTACTGGCTTCAATGACAGTGACATTCTATTCAATTATTCATTCATTCAATCATTCAATGGACATTTATGGAACACCTTCTACGTATCAGGCAATGTGCTACATAGTGAGAAATGCAGTCATATGATCTGTCCACCTGGATCTTATAATCAGCTAAGGAAAGAAGCCACCAATTAATTATAAAATCATATCATTACAAATGGTAATTATATTAAGGAAGGACACAGGGAGCTATGAGAACAAACAGTGAAGGAATTTGATTTCGAGTAGAAGATTGAAGGAAGGCTTCCTTGAGGAATCAATTCTTGCACTGAGGAGTGAAGGCTGTACAGAATTAACTAGTTCAAGTCTGGGAGAACTGGTGTTGGGGTGGGAAGCATTCCAGGCAGAAGGAGCAGCAGAAGCAAAGCCCTGAGAAGGAGGGGAAAAAAGGTCCTTGCAGGACCAAAGCAGGCCAGTGTCATGGGGAAGTGATGCACAATGAGCTGAGAGGCGGGGGACAGGGGGTGGCTATACAGGTATCAGAGGCGATATTAAGCATTTTGGTCTTTCTCCTAAAACAAAGGGCATATGATCAACACCCTGAACTTCTCCTCTCATATCACTCTTCACACCTTATTGCAATTGTTTAATGTCTGTTTTCCCTACTGGTTGAAATTCTATGACAATAGACACTATGAATGTTTTGTTCAGTGCTGTAGCCTATGATCAGCACAGTGTCTCATACATATATGTCAGATTCTCAATAAATATGTTGAGTAAATGAATGAACAAAGAAAGACCTTATAATGTATTAACAGGATCTATGTTAGATTCTAAGGATGAAAAATAAAACATAGGACTTTTCCCTTAAAAAGTTGGGTTTAGGACCAGGTATTCATTTACCTTACATTAAGCATCTATAATATACTAGGTTTGATTTGTAATTAGGATTCTACTTTTTTTTTTTTTTAATAGAGATGGGATCTTGCTATGAGGTCTGGGCTGGTCTTGAGCTCCCAGGCTCAAGCGATCCTCCCACTTTGGCCTCTCAAAGTGCTGGGATTATAGGCATGAGCTACTATGCTCAGCCTTGGATTCTATACTCTTAAACATTACCTGAAATTAATGAGTAATGGTTATCTCCAATATTATGGACATTTATATACATAAACACATATTTTAAATACTTATCTGAAAAAAGTAAGAAAATTTTGCTCTTTTCATATATAAGTTGTTTTATAAAATTCATTACATTTTAAGAATTAAGTTTTACTGTTCATTTTTTTCTTTCTATAAATATTTTTTCAAAGTTAAGACCACAAAAGGAGCCCTAGTTTGAACTCCTGATTCATTATCTAGAAAAAGAATACTACAAAATATACACTTTTCTTCTTAATGTCCTATCAGTTGGAATCAATAAATATATGTAACGATGCTGCTTTGATTCACTTAATTGAAACTGATGTACTCATGAAGTTACAATTTTACATAGCTATATTTACTGTTACTCATTTTCCCATAAGTTAGGATTTTATGTAGCTATATTTACTGTTACTCATTCTTCTTCTTGAGGACTTTAAGAACACACAAAATATTCACTCTAAATATTTGTGCAATTTATGTACCTGATGTGCTTTATTCAGATGTAAAAATGCGGGGGAGATGGACGGGTTCATCAGATGTGGCAAGCTGGGAGGTGTTCCAAGAACAGCTATGAGAAAATAAAAGTGAAAACTTCATGATACATATGGAATTAAAAAGAAATAAATAAAGCAAGCTTCAAAAAGGGTACATGATTATTTCTTTACATCGTTCGCAAAGTCACTGGAAATTCAATGATACACTGACCCTGTCATTGGTCAAAAGTGACAGACACCTTTCCTTATGATTCAACCCTGGAATCTGTTTTAAAATTCCAACACCGTCTTGTCATAATTGTAAAACACCAAACTTAGATTTCATCTTTTCTAGCATTAAGGGCAACATAACATATCCACTTTTAATAAGCATAGTATTAACTGAACTAATGGTATTTGCTCAATGTTTTTTAGGTGTTTCAGGGATTTGGATAGTGTGTGGGGATAGAGGACAAAACACAATCCCTGTCTTTGGAAAGCTTACATAAAATCTGATGGATAATACAGGTACACAAAATATATTTACATAATAAAAACAAGACAAAATAAACAAGAGAAATACACTAAATGAATACATGGCAACTATACTTGTAATAAAGTCTAAGTGTCCAAATACCAGAGTATATTTTAGAAGAGACATCTTTAGAATAGATAATATAGAGAACTAAAAAGAACCCTGATCAAAAATATAGAAATAATTTTCACCTAATTATTGTAAGGTAACTGGAAATAGTCATAAGATACAAAATTATATATATACAATATGCAAAATATAGAAAAAGTCCTGGTAATATCATTTCATAATATAGATATAGCAAAATAAAGAACACTGAACCATGAGAGGTAAAATAAATACATAAATAAAATAAATCCTTGCTGCAACCCAATTTTTAAGTATCAAATCTACACTGGGACCACCTCAGAGGGCAAGAATTATACAACATTTTGGCTTCAGGTATAAAATTATATTAGTTAATCAACCAATAGGAAACTATATAATTTAATCATTTTCAATATTCTCTCTAACAAAGGAAGAAGTATTAGTGTGTGGGAATGGAGGGAATGTTTAATTATAGCATAAGTTTAGGAAAGTTATGATAACATAAATATATGTGGAAGAGGGCTCTTTTATAGAAGTCTATTAACCTACTTCAATGGAAAAAAGGCACTTCTGGGCAGAAAACTGGTACACAGATAGAACTCCCCAGCAAGCAATAGAGAATCAAGTGTAGAAAATTAGAGGAGGCCGGGCTCAGTAGTTCAGCCTGTCATCCCAGCACTTTGAGAGGCCAAGGCGAGTGGATTGCCTGAGCCTGTGGGTTCGAGACCCTCCCGGGCAACTTGGCAAGACCTCGTCTCTACAATCAATCAAAAATTAGCTGGGTGTGGTAGTGCATGCCTGTAGCCGCGGCTACTTATAAAGCTGAGGCGGAAGGATCACCAGAGCCCAGCAGGTCGACGCTGGGGTGGCAGTGAGTGCCATTGTGCTCCAGCCTGGATGACAGAGTGAGACTCCCAGTAAAAAAAACAAAAAACAAAAAAGAAAATGAGAGGAAATATTACTTGATTTACAAAAATAATTGAGTGTAGCCTCTTCAATAAGTGATATTGGGAAACTGAATATCCATCTGTAAAAAAATGAAAATAGAGCCCTATCTCTCACCATATACAAAACATTAACTCAAAATGGATTAAAAACTTAAATGTAAGACTCAAAGCTATAAAACTACTGGAAAAAAATAGGGAAAACACTTCAAGACGTTGGTCTGGGCAAAAGATTTGATGGGTTAGACTTTAAAAGCATGGGCACCAAAAGCAAAAGCAGACAAATGGGATTTCATCAAACAAAAAGCTTCTGCACAGCAGAGGAAATAATCAACAGAGCAAACAGACAACATGTAGAATGGGAGAAAATATCTGTAAAGTATTCATCTGACAAGGGATTATACGTGGAACTCTAACAATTCAACAGCAAAGATAAAACAAAACAAAAAAATCCAATTTTTAATAATGGGCAAAATATCTGAATACATATTTCTCAAAAGAAGACATACAAATGACCAAGAATATGAAAAAATGTTCAATATTCACTAATCAGGGAATTGTAAATCAAAACCACAATAAGGTATCATCTCATCCCAGTGTTTTGTTTTTGTTTTGTTTTGTCTATTATCAAAAAGACAAAAAAAAAAAAAATGCTGGTGAGGATGTAAGAAAAAAGAAACTCTCATACACTGCTAGAAAGAATGTAAATTAGTACAGCCATTATGGAAAACAGTATAGAGGTTTCCAAAAACAAAAATAGACTGCCACATGATCCAGCAATTCCACTGCTTGATGTTTATCCAAAGGAAAGGAAATACATACATCAAAGTGATATCTGCATTCTCACGTTTATTGCAGTACCATTCACAATAGCTAAGATATGGAACTAACCTAAGTGTCTATCAACAAGTGAAAATATATACACAGTGGAATACTAGTCAGCCATTAAAAAAGGAAATCCTCTCATTTGTGGCAATATGGATGAGCTTGGAGGACATTAGGTTGAGTGAAACCAGACAGGCCCAGAAAAGTAAACACTGCATAGTACTACTCATAGTGGGAGCTAAAAAAGTCTAGTTCATAAAAGTAGAGAGTAGAATTGTGGTTATTAGAGACTGAGAAGAGAAAGGAGAAGAGGATATGGAGAGGCTGGTTAATAAATACAAAATTACAGCCAGATAGGAGGATTAAGTTCTCGTATTCTATAATACTGTACGGTAACAATGATTTATTTATTTATTTTTTTTGAGTTGGAGTCTCACTCTGTCGCCCAGACTGGAGTGCAGTGGCCGCTCCCAGCCACTGCAGCCTCGACCTGCTGGGCTCCGGCGATCCTTCCGCCTCAGCCTTCCGAGTAGCCGGAATTATAGGCGCGTGCTACCACGCCTGGCTAATTTTTTTTTTTTTTTTTGGTTTATTGTAGAGATGAGGTCTCACCTGCCCAGGCGGGTCTCGAACTCGCAGGCTCAGGCAATCCACTCACCTCAGCCTCCCAAAGGCGCGGGATTACAGGCTGAGCCACCGAGCCCGGCTGTAACAATGATTTATTGTGTGTTTTCAAATAGCAAGAAGAAAAGATTTTAAATGTTCCCAATACAAGGGATGGATACATGTTTGAGGTGATGAATATCACTCTGTACCCCATAAACATGTAGAATCACTACATGTCAATTAAGATTTTCTTTCTTTTTTAATAGAGACAAGGACTCGCCATGTTGCTCAGACTGGTCTCAAACCCCCAGGCTTAGGCAATCCTCTCGCCAATGCCTCCCTAAATGCTGGGATTACAGGTGTGAGCCACTGTGTCCAGCCCTAACTTTTTTAAAATTAAAAAATAACTTGAGTGGAAGAGTTTGGTTTTGTTTTCTAATTCCAGAGTTGAAGTTCAAAGAATAGGGGTTTAAGGCACATCTCTTTCTTATTGAATTAATAATTACCTGCAGCAAAACATCTAAATTACAAAGCCCCAAATGTATCATATATGAAAGACAGATGAGGTGCCAAGCACAGTGGGTCACAACTGTTATCCCAGTACTTTGGGAGGTGGAGGCAAGAGGATTGCATGAGCCCAGGGACTTAAGAACAGCTTGGGCAACTTGACAAGAGCTTGTCTCTACTTTTTAAATTTTTTTTGAGTTGGAGTCTCACTCTGTCACCCAGACTGGAGGGCAGTGGCCGCTCCCGGCCACTGCAGCCTCGACCTCCTGGGGTCCGGCGATCCTTCTGCCTCAGCCTTCCAAGTACAGCTGGAATTACAGGCGTACACTACCACGCCCGGCTAATTTTTGATTTATTGTAGAGATGCGGTCTCACCAAGTTGCCCGGGTGGGTCTCGAACACGCGGGCTCAGGCAATCCACTCACCTCAGCCTCCCAAAGCGCGGGATTACAGAATAAACCACCAAACCCAGCTTACTTTTTTTTTTTTTAATTAGCTATGGTGTGGTGGTGTGTGCCTATGGTCCCAGCTACACAGAAGGCTGAAGTGGAAGGATTGCCTGAGCCCAGCAGGTTGAGGCTGCAGTGGCCATGAGTGTGCCACTGCACTCCAATTGAGTAAGACTCCTATTAAAAAAAAAGAAAAGAAAAGAAAATCTTCTCTCTCAAAAAATTATTATGGGAACCACAAATAACAGATACCCAAACACTTAAATTCCCTTACTTTAAAGTCATACATTATAGATGGAACAACCAGTAGCAGTACCACAAATATGAGAATTTTACAAGATAATAGAAAATACAAACTCACTTGGCATCTTAACACACATAGATATAGATAAGATATGCTAATATTAACTTTTTTCTTTTTTTGAGTTGGGATCTCACTCCATCACCCAGGTTGGAGTGCAGTGGCACGTTCACGCCCAACCCAGCCTTGACCTGCTAGGCTCAGGCAATCCTTCTGCCTCAGCCTTCCAAGTAGCTGGAACTACAGGCGCAAGCTACCATACCTAGTAATTTTTCTTTTTATTTACTGTAGAGACAAGGTTTCACCAAGTTGCCCAGGCTGGTCTCGAACCCCTGAGCTCAGGCAATCCTCTTGCCTCGGCCTTCCAAAGTGCTGGGATTACAGGCTGAGCTACTGTACCTGGCTGCTAATATTAATTTTTAAAACCCACTGGCTAGATTAGTATAAAAAAATTCCAGAGCAAATTATTACCAGCAATAAAGATCATTCTTTTGCAATGATAAAGGGGCTGATTAATCAAGAGGATGCAATGATCTGAAATGTTTGTGTGAGAACAAAGCTCAAAATATATACAGCAAAAGTTTGTAGAATTGAAGGGAAAAGTAGATAAATCCACAATTATGATTAGAGATTTCAACTTCTCTTCCTCTTTTTAGCAGATAGCTACTGTATTTGTTGTAAAATACTGAAATATATTTTTCTTCACAGCTTTTACTGAACACAATATCTCCCAGTTTATAATAACAACAACCAGAATAAAAACCGTTTGAAAACGTTCATGCTTCACATCTACCTGCCCTTCCCTTAGCTCTTGGCTAGGACTCACACTAGGCCCCAACAC